TCAACTGTGAGAATGAAATGTAACTACCCAAATGAAGTCAAGGCTGTGACACCCTATAAAAGGAGGAATTGCAACCCAGTGCGTCATTGATCCAGGCATGGCTTATGTGCGATCTACCAGTATCAATGAGTAAATTTCTTGTTTTACTTCCATTCTGCTGCCTCTCTGTGTGTCACTTACTGCTTCCTTCCATAACACAGTAACACTGTATGTCTTGATTTTGGAAGTATTTAGTAAGATGCATTTGTGTGTCTAAATTGAACAGCTCAACATTTAGAATCATTGTGCTTTATTACAATTATATGTTCTCTAATAAAATTGGTGAATAATGTTGATAGTAAGTTAAGGGGTTAATGGTACAGTTTTGTCTTCACCCTGTTGGCAAACCTGAAATTTTTGAGAACAACCATCCGTGAGCTCATCTCAACTTTAACAGTAAAGAGCTCTGTGTCTTGCAGTAAGTTCCCTATTTTCTTTCTCCTTACATTTATTCAGAGCATAAAAAGTTAATTTGCATGTCTTATATATTAGATAAAATGCATGATCATACTACACATTTAGACTTTATGCCAACTAAAAAGGGAGAAAAATATATCCATGTAAACATTAGAAAAGAAATAGGACATCAAAAGTTAATGAAAGAGAAAAATTATACTTTTCAGAAGCATTATGCAAAATTATAGCTATTAATGTTGAATTTTCATCCTAACAATTATAATATAATAATACTCACTATGTTTATTAATTGAATATACAGCTACATAGATAGATTAAATTGTCTTTTGGAAGCCTTTTACATTTTAGTCATGACTGTTACCAGTCTTTGACTTTTCCTAACATTCTCATATATTTTTTAGTTTGGACATTTTCACAATTTAATGTAATAATTTTGGAAGTATTTTTTTTTTTTGCATTTCCTTGAAGGTTTGTATAATTTTGATAACCTTGTTACTACCCAACCTCAAGTAAGTAGAAAGCTGTAATTTACCTTCTCCTAATGTTTTCATTATAGATTTTGGTTTTTTTGCTAATTTGATGGCATATATTTTTCTTTAATCCTTTACTTATTTTTGATGACTTTCATTGGCTTTGAAATAAATGGTTTACATTTTCTCCCCATGTTTCTACCATACTTTGCATGCTCTTGTCTTCCTTTCTTTGTATGCCCTCATGCCACTGACATGTCTTCAACTTTCTCTAGGGTAGGATGGCAGAGGCCCCCTGTTGGGGAGTCAAGAATCATTGCCAGGTTTATGTGTCATGCTGTGGAAAGCATTGGGACACAGCCCCTCCTTCACAAAACTGCATTCCAGGTCCAAGCACATGCTCTACCCTCTCCTTCAAGAACCACCCACTGTGGGTCTTTCCTTCCTTCTGTTAGTTACTTTTTACATGTAAGTCATCAGGTTTGTACTTTTTACATACAACAATTTTTACTTACTTCTGAAAAAATTATTGATACCTCTATCAAGGTGTTTTCAATTATTCAGTTAAATATCTTCAATTGGACACACTTATGCTCAGTTGAGGGATAATTTTCCAATAAAAATAACCAAAGTATATTTACATCAAAGAGTTTTTCATTCATTGTTAGAGTCCAGAAGCAAGAGTCCCATCACATGAGGGATGTGTTCATATTAATAAATATATACACACTTGCAATGGCCAGGGCAGATATTATAGTGTTAGTGGAGGGACCAATGCAGGATACAATATTGCTGTAAGTGGAACTTAATAGAATCTAAAATTGCTAAGTAACCAAGAATTCAAGCACTGGAGACAGTGACTGGAAATATCATACTATTTCTCCATGGGGACCAGGGAAAGCTCTCTGTGATCACTAAGGAAGTGCTCTGAATGCTAAAGGATCAGCCTGTGGCCAAATGACTAAATCCAACCTGCAAGGACCAAGGAAACAGTCATGGGACTTGAAGACACCAGGAAATTTCACGGAATCCATTGAGTCTTTACTGCAAACAATATTTTACCTCATAAATATTACTAAAGTTAGTTAATAATGTAAAAATTAGATTCTTGTGTGATTTTATTCCATTAATGGTATAAATTTCCCTAATAAATTTCAGTAAATGTGTGGTCCTAACCACACTAGAGGCATAGACTTTGCCCTCTGTTCAGAACCTGGAGTCCTTGCTGTGCACTGCTTTGTGCTCTATAGGTTACCCAAAGCACCTGCCTCCCAAAACCCTTTAGCCAAGTTTGGTCTCTATTTCAGGACAGCAATCTCCCTGAGGGAGGTGCAGCAGCTGATGTGGACATGGGGACATAAGACCCTTAGGGACCTGGTGCTCTGGGTGATGGAGACAGGGTAATAGCAGAGATTCATGGCATGCACCACCCACTTGATCAGTCTGTGAGACTTTCTGGAAAGACCATGGATTGGAACACTGTTAATTCTGAAACAAATGTCTTTTGTTTTGACCTTTACATTCTAGTAATCAAATTGGGGTCTCCAAGCTCCAGCTCTCCTTTCAGTGTCTCACAGAGAGAGGGTCACCATCACTTTCCTTTCAGCAGCAGTGGAATCTTCTGAAAGGAGATTTCCAAGATCCAGCCTTTTGCTGTGTCTGCCTTGGCTGTGATACATCCCAGGCTGATGCGGGGCACTTTTAGGGTTAGAATTTGGTGTTCAATAGTTGCTTTGTGCTGTTCTGTGCTCCAAGTTCACTGCTTTAAATAAAAAGTCAAGCAGTCATTGCCTGAGATATGTTAAACTATCATATATAAAACAAGTGATACTTGTAGCCCTTAATGGAAAGAGGTGATGGTGGAATCAGTGATGATCCTGGGTCACAGGCTAGCTGCAATCCCTTCCTCACACCCTCTTCAGAGAGTGGGGAGGGAGAGGTGAAGGGTGACTCACAGGAGTCCTGGGACCTTACCATGTCTCAGCTGCCATAGCTACAACCATTGAACAGCTGCTGAGTGTGCAAGCAGGACAGCTCCTGGGGTCCTCACAGGCTGCTCTGGAAGGGTTCTGCGGTGGAATGGATGGGGCTTGGTTCACAGCTGTGTATCAGCAACCTTCAGTTTCCCAACACTTCCTAACACTGCTCCCTGAACTGTGTTCTGAGCCCCCTACTCTTTCCCAAAAATAGTTTGTCATTCTATGGTCACCCACCTGGACCTTAACTGATCTGTGTACTTTACCTCTTCTCAATTGAACATTTAGTTATTGTCCTTAATAGTTATATGATTTACTAAGAAGAAGAATCACTGAGTTTTCTACAGAATCTTGCTTGGTAATGAATAAAACAGGACCAGGTTTCTGAATGGGGGAAAGATTCAGACATGGGGAACCAAAATGAAAATGATTTTATGTTACAAATCTTCCATTAGATAACAAACACACCACATAATAAACAAAACACAGAAGCCTCATCCCAGAAACACTGGGACTGCAGAAGTGTTACTTACCTCTTAGGGAACCATTAGGCAGGCTGCTCTGTGCCCAGCTCTCTAGGCTCACATGGCTGCAGGGACTCTGTTCCTGATAGGCCATGTCTCCCCAGCCTGCCCACTCCTTAGTATTTCATATTTTACTTTTTGACTGATAGTACACCCTGACTGTCTTAGTTACCTTTCTATCCTTACTGAGATAAAATACCCAACACCTAAAGTTAAAAGCTGAAAAGCTTTTTTAGCTCACAGTGTGTAGAGGTTTCAGTCCATAATGGGCTGGCTCCAGTGGAGGGTAGTTTGGCAGAGGAGCATCAGAGAAGAGAAGTTCATGGCAAACAGAAGACTACAAAAGCAGGCAAGTGCAGAAGAAAACCGTCTTTATGTCCCTTATATGGTGCCCAGGCTCCTGAGATTAGGATGGTGTCAGTACAATCACTGTACTGATTTAGGAATCACAAACCCTTCATCCCAGCATCACACACTCTAGATTCAGCTACTGTAAGACTTAAAGTCTCACTTCCACTCCACGGAGCATGAACAGCCAAAAAGGCCTCCACGATGCTGAGTCCTATATCCTAAGGATGGCTCCAGAGGCAAGACCCAGGGCCTTACTTCTGAAAGCCATGAACAATCAAAAAGGCCTCCACAATGCTGGGCCCTAACACCCAGACAGGCTCTGGAAGCTTGATGGAGGAACAAGAAACCCAGGAAGGAACACACCAGGCTAGATGGTAAATAGACCTTTATTAGTCTGGCCAGACAGCACTCCCAGAGCCAGGTAGCTCAGAGAGGCAACTGTCCAGGGGCTGAGGTACTTTTTATAAGGTTTTTCTAAACAAAGAGTCAGGGAATTCACAGAACAAGACTGCAAACACATTGCTTATCTCAAGCAGGAAATGTTCTTGGTCACCTTTTGTCATACCATTTGCCCCTGGGAGGGCTGTTAGCCAAGTTAGCAATTAGCATATGAAGAAGCACAGTCTGGCCTATTAGCATGGAGTCACTTTAGCTTATTCAAGTCTTACACTACTTCTGAAAAAGCAACCTATAACTGCATGAGGACTTGGGAGGACATCTAGACCCAAACCATAACACTGACTATGATGCCCCTTCCAGGAGGATTCTTAGAGGCTGAACTCTGAGTCAGTTATGAGGCACTGTGGGTGGGAGAAAAAGGCCAGCAACTCTGAATGTGGGCAGCTATGCAAGAAACAAGGATGATGTGGCCTTGTACATTCAGAGATGGAGGGGACAGAACCCTCAGAATCCATCTCTGTTCAGAAAAGCAAAGCTTGTTCCAAACCACAAAGAAAACAATAGTTCACTGTACTCATAGGAGAGAAGCCTGATTCTACCCTGTGCCCCAAGGAGAAACATGTTCTGTGCAGGAATTCTTTACTGCCCTGGTCTGGATAGGGACCATGGCAATCACTGTGAGGAGCCAGCCCTGCAGTTGAGTTCAGCTGTGCTCCAAACTTGCTGATTTGCATGTTTCCAGAGCACAGCCCACTCCCCTGAGGACTTCTTAAGAGGCTGACGCTCATACCCTGTGAAGGAGTCAGTGCCAGTGAGGACACAGCATGGACATGAGGGCCCCCACTCAGCTCGTGGGTCTCCTGCTGTTCTGGTTCTTAGGTGAGGAAAGATTGAACTGGAATTACACTCTATTTAGTGCAGTCACAGTGAACCACTGTTCAAGAAGCCCCTATTGTACCATGATTGTGCTGATATTTGTTATGTTTCTAATCTCAGGTGCCAGATGTGACATCCAGATGGCCCAGTCTCCATCCTCACATTCTGCATCAATAGGAGACACTGTCACCATTAATTGTCGAGCAAGTGAGGATATAATAACTAAATACTTAGCTTGGTATCAGCAGAAACCAGGGAAAGGTCCTAAACCTCTGATCTATTATGCATCCATCTTAGCATCTGGAGTCCCAGCAAGGTTCAGTAGCAGTGGATCTGGGACAGATTACACTCTCTCCATCAACAGTGTGGAGACTAAAGATGTTGGAACTTATTATTGTCAACAGGGTGACACAAGCCCTCCCACAGTGATATAAGCCATGACATAAACCACCCAGGGAAGTAGAAGTGTAAGCCTGGGCTGCTCCAGCTGCCACCCCTGCTGTCTCCACCTGCTCAGAGCATTGCTCAGATGAAGCCTGCTTTTCGTTTCCCTGGGAGTGCTTGGTAGAGGCTAGAGAGAGGATCCTATTCACCCTAAATCCCTTCCTCCTCCTAAGCTCCTGGGGCACTGACATCTCAATTTCTGTCCTGATTTAATGGAGGACACCAAGAGTGTCCCTGGGCAGTGTGTGTTATGGCACCATTTTGGGTTCACACAGCATCAGAGAAGCCCTTCCATGTGCTCCAACCAAGAATTATTAATGATTTATGTCATTTTCAGAATAGACGTAAGTTCACAATAAAATTTATAGTGCAGAAGTGTCTCTTCCACCTGCCTCCACAGATACTTTGTCTCTATCATCAACATCCAGTTACAATTTTATTGCAGTCAATCAGTGTCAGATCATATCCAAAGTGCAGAGTTCAGACTGAGGCACAATCTCCATGTTGTACATTGCAGTAGCATAAACTAATACAGGGTGACAAAAATCCAACATTCTGGCATGATACAATGTTGTTTTACTGCCATAAAAATATTCTGTATTTCTGTTCTTTGTCTTTTTCTCCATTTCTTATAAGTCATTCACAGTTCAGTGTTCCTATAGTTTTTCATTTTGCAGCATGATAAACTCTGGAACTTAGAGCATGGGTGCTTTTTAAATGCTAATATCAAAATACACAGAATTATGGAAGACAATAATAAGAAATATTGAGCAATACATCAGGCTACTACCAAGAATTCCTTTCTGTTCTCCATTATTGTACTGAATATCCTGGGTTAGTATAGGTGTTGGAATACCGGCTTTCCCAGTATTCATTGTGTTTAGTAGTTCCATAGAAGGATAGGGACCTGCTTGCACTGAATGTGATGAGTCTACAATAACTTTAAAATGTGTTGACTAAGTTTTAAATTCTGTTGATGTTATTACTGTCTGTGTTTGCAGGTGCAACACTCAAATCCTCACTATTCTTCTTTAACACTACTCCAAGGCATTTGTTGCACTGAACCTGCTTGGAGCCTTGCTCTTCACCTTAGAGAAGTCACCAGTTGATAGCTTTGCTCTCTCTGATCTGGCTCCTAAGCATGAAGGAGAAGTAGGGGTGATATCATTTCATGATGAATAATATCTCCTCTTTATCTTCCCATCTTTCTATATGTTTGCAAGACTGTGGCACTTGAACACCTCTTATAATCACAGGATCTCATCCCAGTGTGAACAACAGAGTGTAATCTTTTGGAAGATAATAGCATTTGGCTTGGTTAACTTAGAGCCAGTGGCCTGATTTTTATTTTTTTCAATGGTAAAGGCAGCAGCAGAGGAGGTGTCAGCCACTGTAAGGACACAGTCTTCAAGCTCCGCACTATTTTTTCCTATAAATACCAAAGATTTAGCCAGAGGAGCATCCCTTCTTTATACCACATTCCTCGCTTCCTTATCCCATGGATGTGACATTCTCATTTATCCCCTCATTTGTGATTATTTATTTCTTCTCAACTAACTCCTTTTCTTCAGTGGCTTGTATTCATGAAAATAAGTTCTAAAGTGAAACAAGAACACGAACATGGAAGGACCATGGCAGTGAATAAAGACAATAAGTAGCTTAATGAAATCTAGCTCTTTTGGTTATTATCAAATGGCAGTTAAGTGAAGCTTTGTAAAGAAGAAACTAATACTGGGAGTCCACACAGCTCTGTCGATGAAGACTTTATGACCTCTTAGCAGAACAGTTTGGCAGAGTTTTAACACGTTCCCATCTTTCCCTACAGTCCCACTCTCAGACCTTTGAGTAAGGTTCTTGAAAATACCAGTTTACGCTGCATGTTGTGAAAGGCTTTTAAATTAGCTCCATTCGTAGCATCCTGAAGTGAAACTGTCTAAGTCATCATCAGAATATCGAGCAATAAATTATGACATTACAAAATATTAAATAGTACTTTGCAATAAAGAAGATTATATTATTTGTACATAGTACAAGATGAGTAGAAATCAAATACAACTACATCATGTTGTGAAAAAGTACAAAGCCACCGGATAATAGAAGGTTTATGATTTCCTTTGTATGAAATTCTAGAAAAAGAAATGTAATCTATACTGATAACAGGTAGCTCTGGGTTTAAATACTTCAGGGGGTGGATACTGAAATGGTCAGTAAAGGCAGATAAGAGCTTCTTAGTTTTATAGTACTATGGTACATCTTGATTTTGGAAGTATTTGGTAAGATGAATTTGTGCCTAAATTCAACCAGTTGTATGGTTAAATTTATTGTAGTTCATATCAATTAAAATTTCTTCTGATAAAGTTGGCTAATGTTGTTGATAGTAAGGAGAGGGATTCATTGAAGAATTTTGTCTTCAACCTTTTGGAGAATCTGCGTTTTAGGAGAACTCCCAATGAGGAATTTTCTTTCAGTGAGGACATGGGAAAACTATGAGGCTCATTTGTTTTCTATCATCCTGACTATGTTAACTACGGCTAACAACATAGCTTCAAGAGGCCTTTCCTGAGTTGTAATTCACAAATTTTCTTCTTGCAAATAATATCTTTCTAACTGTGTTTATTACCTTGCAGAACAAGCTCAGAATAACTGGTAATTAGTGAAAGGAGGCTGATAGTTTATTTTGTTTACAATATTTAAGGGGAATACATATTACCTCAGGGATGAAGGTCTAAACAAATGCAATGAAGTGCCTAAGAGTTGGAAATTTGAAGAGAAAAGGTAAAAATATCATATCTTTATACATAAAATATTTATTGTAAGTTGAATATAAAACTAGCTCATAAATTAACCAGATGATACAGCTGTAAATTAACCAAACTGCACAGACTTAAATACCCAATATTTAAAAGCTGCTACAAAATGAAGGTTAATTTTGTATACACTTTACCTTTATTCCAGTCTCCAACTTGAACTCAGATGTCTGCAGCAAAGTATTTGGTTTTGTTTGCAGGTTCCTTTTTTTGTGCACTTTATATATCATCACCTCCTCTTTCTGTTTGGACATCATCAGTCATTTTGGCAGTTTTCTGGAATTTCTTGTACTATGAACAGAAAGTAACACAGTAGAGTCAGCAATGTCCTGGCAACTAAGCTCTTAACCAGTCTAGCATTTCTGTGTCCCATAGCTATAATAGTACTGTTCTCACCTCCAAGTTCATGTTTTCAATAAAAAGTCAAGCAGTTGTCACCTGAGAGATGTTAAACTGTCAGACATGAATGAATCTGGTGATCATGGCAGTCCTTAATGGAAATAGGTGATGGTAGAATTAGGGATGAGCCTGGGTTCCCAGGCTACCTGCACTCCCTTCCTCACATCCTGTGCAGAGATTGGTGAAGGAGAGATGAAGGGTGACTTGCAGGAGTCTGGGGACCTTGCCATTTCTCTCTCAGCTGTCAGAGCTACATCCATTGAACAGCTGCTGAGTGTGCAAGCAGGAGAGCTACTGGGGTCCTCACAGGCTCTTCTGGAGGGGTTCCAGGGTGGGAAGGATGATGCTGGATTCACAGATCTGGACCAAGAGCTCCCAGAATTCCAACACTTCCTAGTGCCTCACCTTGCATGGTGTTGGAGGGCCCTACTCTGCCATATTTGCATCTTTGTCATTTCACCTGGTTCCATAGCTAGAGTTAACTCTTTTGTGTTTACTGTCTTTTCAGAACTCAATTTAAACTGTGAGTCTTTTTTCCCATAAGAGTTGCATAATTTCTTTTGAAGAGTCATTTCAACTCAGACTCCTGTCTGGTAGTGGATAGAATAGGATCAGCTTCATGAATATGGGTGAAAGAATTCTGTGCAGACACCAGGGCCCAAAACCTAAAGGATTGCTCTGTCATGAATCTTCCATTAGGTGGCAAACAGACCCCACCATAAACAAAGCACACAGGTCTCATTTTAGAAACTCTGGGACTGCAGAAGTGGTACTTTCCTATTAGGGAGCCACTCAGGCAAGGTGTTCTCTGAGCAGCTCTCCAAGCTCCCGTGGCTGCAGATACTCTGTGCACAATGGGCCACATCTCCCACACCTGCAGTTCCTTAGTACTTTCTATTTTACTTTGTGTTTGGTAATACACGAGGCTATGATGACATTTCCTGGAAGATCCTCACACTCTGACCTCTGGGTGAGCATCCACTCAGGATGCGTCAGAGAATAACTCCCACAGCTGAAAAGGGAAACAGAGCCCACAGAAGCCATCCCCATTCAGAGGTGCAGAGGAGATGCACTGGTGGTGTCCTCAGGAGAGTGGAAGCTGGACAGGGAGAGCGGCTCTGATTTGAGATGTGTTCTATTCTGTTCGCTGGAGTCCTCAGCAATGAGCACAGGTCACTGCTTGGTCCACACGGGCTGGGCTGAGAGTGGATCCTCAGCTGGGAGTCTCATGCTGCTCAGACTCAGCAGTGGGGCAGGGTCAGGTCAGGTGGTGATGCACACACTCAGCATTCCTCTCTTCATGTTCAATTTTCCAGAATTTATAATGATGTGCTACACACAGATCTAAAATTATGATTGCTACATTAGACTTACACCATAGTTAACATATTACATGCACACAACAGATACGTAATATACATATTTATCTGTTTAACACTTGCTCCTAATGATTCTAAGCAGAACAAATGCCAACTGAGTCAAGCCTCTGGAATGGGGCATTTGCTGAATTTCTTCTTGGCCTCTCCTCACACTGAGAGAAGTCAGCTCATAGAGCCAGGCCCATTTCTGAGGTCCTGTTCTCTCATGTTTCCCCTCTCCTGGGGACTCAGCTTGTTCAGCACCCAGAGATGTTGAGCACTTTTGTTCCCTGGATCTTGGCCAATCATTGTTATGGGCAGGACCTCTGATTCCCCCCAGGTTTTCACTGCAATAGGCCAGAGTCCAGTAGCTCCCAGCACAGAAATTGTGACCTCAGCCCGAGTTGTGATGTTGTCCCAAACCATTTCACTCCAGGATCTGAAAACTGTACCATGCTTGAATTCACAGGCCCCCTTTCCACAATTTGTAAAGCCAACATTGCCACCAGGAGAAATAGGATTCATCTCCATTGTCTTCCTGAGTCCTGCTTGTCCCACCCTTAGCAAATAAAGTTTTCCTTCAGATCTCTCTTCTCCATTCATTGAAAGATAGGAGCACAGGGAAATTTTTTAAAGGGTCTTTTAAAATTTTAATATGTTCCCAACAACCATTCCCTTTCCTATATTTTATGAAGCACTTGCTCTGACCTGCTATGCATGGTCATCACAGACGCATCTCTTTTACCCTAGGATCAGAGATATGGTGGCCCATGAGACCAAAAAATGTCTCTAGTTGCTCATTCTTTATGGCTGTGCAGTACTCCATTTTATATTAACAAGACACATCTTCTTATGTAGTCAACAGTTGATAGGCAATTGTGTTGTTTCCAATTTTTAGCTATTATAACCTGTGCTGCTATAAACATTTGTGCACATATATTACTGTGGTATGGTTCTTTTAATTGTTGTGGGAAGATACCCAGTAGAGAATGAGCTGGTCAAATGGTTCCTCTAATTCAAATTTTTTGAAGCATTTCCATACTGATTTCCACAGTAGTTACACCCATCTACACACCCACCTGCAGTGAAGAAGAGTTCTGTTTTTCCCACAACCCTATCTGCATTTGTTATTGGTTGAATTCTTGATAGCAGCCATTCTTTTTGGAGAGAAGGGGAATCTCAGTATTGATTTCATTTGCATCTCTGGAATGATTAGTGATGCTGAATAGTTTTTCATATGTTTATTTACTGTTTCCATTTATTTTTCTGAGAAATGTCTATTCATTTCAGATGACCATTTTTGGATCAGGTCTTTAAATGTGGGAGGTCTGATGTGTTTTATGTTCTTCACATATTCTAGACAGTAGACCTTTGTCTGAGAAAAAGCTGGTAATTTTTTCCACATTGTGGGTTGTCTCTTCATTCTGTTGGGGTTCTCTTGCTGTGCAGAAGCTTTTTAATAAGATGAGATCCCAGCTGATGATTGTGCCAGTTCACTTGCAACTGAGGTTTTGTTAATGAAATCAGTTCCTACACAGGATTTCTACCTAACCTCTTTGAGCTGGTTTAGTATCTCTATTTTAATTTTTAGATTTTTGATCCATTTAGATTTTAGTCTAGTGCATGGTGAGAGATATAGGTCTAGTTTAATCTTTGGCAAGTTGAAACCCAATTTTTCCAATACCATTTTTAAAGAGACCATTTTTCCTCCAGTGTAGGTGTTTGGCTTTTCTGTCACAGATGAGGTGGCTTAGTGTGCCTGGAGTTGTTCTTCTGTAAATTGTTCCACTGATCCTCACGTTTGTTTCTTTGCCATTACCATGCTGTTTTGTTCTTTTTATCTCAGTAGCTTTGTAGTGTAGTTTTGATTTGGGGACTGTGATACCCCCTACCCTATCTTTATTACCTAGAAATGCTTTTGCCATTCTATAAGTCTTTTTGTTCCAAAATAATTTTGGCCCCCTACACTTTCCTAAAACCATATCTTTGTAATTTCATGTGGGCACATACTTGGACATTAACTGACCTCTCCCCATTATCTTTTCAAAATTCCAGGTGAACTGTTAGTCTTTTGTCCTTAAAACATAAGTAATTATTTACGAAGATGAATTACTTCAACTTTCTACAGAATTCTGCCTTGGTCTGAGTAGAACAGGGCCAGGTTTCTGAATAGGGGAGAAAGATTCAGTCAATGTTTTGGGGTCCCAAACCAAAAAGTTTCTAAACCACAATCTTTGATTAGATGCCAAACAAACCCCACAAAAAAAAAAAAAAAAAAAAAGCACAGAGGCCTCATCATAGAAACACACAGACTGCAGAAATGATACCTTCCCTTTAAGGAGCCACTGAGGCAGAGAGCTCTCTGCTCAGCTATCTAAACTCACATGGCTGCAGGGACTCTGGGCACAATGGACCATGTGTCCCTCACTTGCCAGTTTCTTAATATTTCCTGTTTTACTTTGTATTTGTTAATATATCCTGAGAGACTTAGCTACATTTCTGTGCTTAAAGACACAAAATACTTGACACTGAAAATTAAAGAGGAAAAGTTTTATATAGCTCACAGTGTGTAGAGGTTTTAGTACACAATCATCTGGGTCCAAAGCAGGATGGCTTGGCAGAACAGCATCACAAAGGAGAAGCTCATGGCAAGTAGAAGACAGAAAATATAACAACAAGAGACAAGACAAGCCTCTTTCTATACCATATATTATATTCAGGCCACCAGGATTAGGTTAGTGCCAAAGAAATCAGTGTAATGATTTAGTAATCACACACCCTCCATCCCAGCATCACACACTCTAGATTCATTATCTCTGAAAATGTCACCTATGATCACCTGAGGCTTTAAGGGACATCTAGAACATAACACTAATTATGATGCTCTCTCAGGAGGACTCTTAGTGAATTCTTGGTCAGTAATGAGACAGTGCAAGTGGGAGAACCAGGCTCACAACTCTGAATGTGGGCAGCCATGAAGGAAACAAGGATGAAGTAGCCTTGTGAATTCAGAGGTGGAGGGGACAGAACTCAAAGGACACATCTCTATTCAGGGATGCAAAGTTTACTGTGAATCACAAAGAGAACAACAGTTCAATCTACTCATGGGAAAGCAGCCTGATTGTGTACTGTGTCCCAAGTGAGAAACATGTTCTCTGCAGGCAAATCTGAGGTCCCTTCCTATGGGCAGTGACCACAGAGAACCCTGGTCTGGTGCTGAGAGGAGCCAACCTTGCAGCTGTGTGCAGATCTGCCCAACCCCTCCTGATTTGCATGTGCCCACAGCACAGCCCACTGCCCTGAGCACTTCTTCATAGGCTGCTCACACTCTGTGCAGTAGTCAGTGCCAGTGAGGACATAGCATGGACATGAGGGGCCCCACTCAGCCTTTGGGACTCCTGCTGCTCTGGGTCCAAGGTGAGGAAAGATTGAACTGGGAATATAATCTATTTAGGGTAGTCAGAGTTGCCTGCTCTTCACAGAACCCCTATTCAATCATGATACTGTTGATACTTTTTATGTTTCTAATCTCAGGTGCCAGATGTGACATCCAGATGACCCAGTCTCCATCCTCACATTCTGCATCCATAGGAGACACTGTCAACATCACTTGTTGGATGAGAGAGGACATCAGTAAATACTTAGCTTGGTATCAGCAGAAACCAAAGAAAGTTCCAAAACTCTTGATCTATAGAGCATCTAATTTGGAATCTGGGGTTCCAGCAAGGTTTAGTGGCAGTGGATCTGGGACAAGTTTCACTCTCACCATCAACAGTGTGGAGGCTGAAGATTTTGAAACTTATTACTGTCAACAGTATAACAGTTACCCTCCCACAGTGATACAAGCCATGACATAAACCACCCAGGAAGCAGAAGTGTGAGCCTGGGCTGCCCCAGCTGCCACCCCTGCTGTCTCCACCTGCTCAGAGCATTGCTCAGATGAAGCCTGGATTTAGCTTCCCTGGGAGTGTTTGGTAGAGGCTGGAGGGAGGCTCCTCTGCACCCTAACTCCCTTTCCTCCTCCTCAGCTCCTGGAGAACCAGTATGACTATTTCTGTCCTGATTTAGTGGAGGACACCAAGTGTATCCCTGAGCAGTGTGTGTTATGGCAACATTTTGGGTTCACACAGCATCAGAGAAGACATTCCACATGTTCTAATCAAGAATTATTAATTCTTATGTCATTTTAGGAGTAATGTAAGTTCACAATGAAATGTATGGTGTAAATGTCACTTCTACCCACCTCCACAGATACATAGTCTCTATTATCAACATCCACTTACAATTTTGTCTTTTAAATATCTAATATGTTCATAACAGCTGTTACTTTTCCTTTATTAAGCATCTGCTCTGACCTGCTATGCATGGTCATCACAGATGCATTTCTTCCAACCTAGGGCAGGAGCAGGGATATGGAGATTGATGTGAACATCTCAATAGTGAGACATAAGAGGAATGAAGCAGATGGTCAGATACTTGAGCCTGAAAATGATTTCAGAATACAGCAGGTGAAAATTTTGGCTGAATGTCTTCCTGAAACAGTTATAAGACTACTTGAAAGTCAGCCACACTGTAACCTTCTTGAGACCATAAGGCATTAGGACCAACATCAAAATTTGTCCACAGTAAAGCAGAAAAAATAAATTGAAGCCTTTCTATATTGTCTCTAAGGTGCTGTACCAATTTCTAAATTACAACCTACAATTTCTAAAATACAGACTTACATTTACAGTTTTAATAATTGCCAGATTCTTCTATTGCCATGTAAAATGATTCAAAGATATCCTGAAAAGCAAATTAAGACCCAGAACCTGGCTGAGATGTACAACTGCTCTTTGTAAAGAGACATGCAAAATCATGAGCTTATGGGTGTGTTGGGCAGGAGCGTCAGACATGAAGGCCTAGAAACTATAATTGCTTATGTCCTCTCTGCCCTCTTAGTCGTACTGTGATGATATGGAGAGGAACACAGGCAAGTTCCAATGGTTTATAAATTCTACTCACTTGCTGTCTTCAGTTCTCCCTTTTTGTATTCCGTGACTGAAAGAGCACCTTGTTTTGCTAAATTCATTCTCCTCCAAGGGTCCTTGGCATAGTAGCAAAGTGTGTTCTGAACTATAAAGAGAACAGTAGCTCACTCTACCTGCCCGATTCTCTCCTGTGCCTAGAGGAAGAAACATCTTCTCTTTTGCTGAAGACAAATCTGTGATGCTCTATTCTGGAGAGGGAAATCAGGGAACATTAGGACTATACTCAGAGAAGCCAGCCCTTCATGCTGATTTGCATGTGCCCAGAGCACAACCCACTCCCCTGAGGACTTCTTCATAGGCTTCTGGAATCCTGTGCAGGAGTCAGTCCCTGTCAGCACACAGCATGGACATGAGACCTCCCCCCCAGCTCCTGGGGCTCCTGCCTCTCTGGCTCCCAGGTAAGAATGGATAGCACTGGGGATTGTCTCAGCTTAGTGTGCTGAGCATTGCCTGGCCTTTCAGGGATGTCTTGCTTCATCATGATCAATATGCTGACATTTATTTTGTTTTTAATTTCAGGTTGTAGATATCTCATCCAGATGACTCATTCTCTATCTTCCTTATCTGTATCTTTAGGAGACACAGACACCATCACTTTTCAGGCCAGTGAGGATGTTAGAAAGTACTTATACTGGTATCAGCAGAAACCAGGGAAAGCTCCTACACCACCTTGCATCTATCTTGCAACCAGGGATCCTATCAAGGTTCAGTGGAAGAGGATCTGGGACAAATTATTCTCTCATTGTCAGTGGTGTGCAAGCTGAAGATATTGCAAATTACTACTGTCTACAGATTCGGAATCTTCCTCCCACAGTGATACAAGCCATAACAGAAACCACCCGCAAAAGATGTGTGAAACTGGGCTGCCCCAGCTGCCCAGCTACCAGCACCTACTGAGATCAGTTTTAAAGGTCACTAGAAACATTCCTACTAGGATGGAGGGAGGATCTTTGCACCAAACTCTCCCTGCCCCTTCTCCTCCTCAGCTTCTGAAGCAAAGACATCACAATACCTGTCCCAATTAAATGAAAGATATTGCCGAGTCTCCCTGAGCAGTGTAGTCTATGACACCATTTTTGATTCACACAGCAGCAGAGAAGCCCTTCCATGTGTTCCGAGAAAGAATTTTCAGAGGTTTGCTTCATTTTTTGGAGCAGGCTTCAGTTCAGACCAAATTTAAAGTTCAGAGTTATCCCTTATACTCCTGCTGCCACACCTACACAATCTATCAGGAATATCCAATTACAATTTTGTTGCAGTCAATCAAGATCAATTGGCCCGAGCCGCCATCGCTCCAGCACCAGGATGGTAGCCATGAGGGTACCTATGTTAGGATTCCCTATTTTCAAAGTTCATACAGAGATTTCTTTAACTGAAATACGGAATAGTTTCTCTGGTGTGAAAAACTAAAATAGTACACAAGATCCTAATGAGATTATTAATAATGTGAAATAGGAAGTAAAGGGCTAAAGGTGTAGGGATAGTGGGAAGGGTGGGAAAGGTAATAAGGGAGAGGGAAAAAATATGAGAAATTGATAAAATGGAAATAAAGTGTTTGTAAATGGGGAGGGGAGGAGGGGGTGAAGCAAGGACAGGGACAAGGGGAAAAAATGAGAATCAAGACCTATCATGTAAAGGTACAGGATCTCAATAATGAATGTAACTGTATTGCATACCTAGATTGTACCAATACACTCAATAAAAAGAAAAAAATCAAGATCAATTGGCACTGAACATCCATATTCCACATTGATTTTCACTCTTGATATTATGCATTTCACCAGTATAAGTCCACATATAATGATATACACACAACATTTTGGTATGAATCAATGTGGCTTCTCTGCCCTAAAACTCCTCTATATTCTACCTGTTTATCCTCTATTCCCCATTTCCTGCATGGCACTCATGTTTACCCATTCCTATAGTTTCCCCTTTGAAGAACAACTAAATCTTTTTGAATAGAGAGTATGGAAGCTTTTCAAAAGCTACTCTGAAAATAGACTATAGTATGGACTATCCTAATGAAAATATTGAATAATACATTGTGCTACTACAAAACCTCCCTTTCCAACCTTTTATTATCCTGAATATATAGACTTGGTAAAGGTTCAATAGTGGCTTTCATAATATTTATGTCTTGGAGGTTACCATGATACACACTTGCTGGGACGTAAGTTAAGTCAAGAATCTACCCTGAGTTTAATATGTGGGTTTTAAGTTCTGGCACTCTAATAATTGACTGGATTTGCAGGTGGAACACTAGAACTGTCCTTGTTAATTTAGATCACTGAGAGCCATTCCCTTTTTCATTGAACCTAGTTTTGGGTCTTTGTCTACCACTGAGGAAAGTCTCCAGCTTGGTAGATTTGCTCTGCTGATCTGGGTTCTCAGCATTTAGAAGAAAAAGAAGTCATTATATTTCATGCTGACAAATATCTTCTACCCTTATTTTCATATTTTCTATGTGCCTTCCTGGACTATGAAGCTTGAAAACCTCCCCTAAACACAGTATCTCATCCCAGTGTGAACAACAGAGTTAAATCTTCTGGAAGACAACAAGGCGTGGTTTGGTTAACACATAGTCACTAGTAGGTTTTTTGTTTGTTTGTTTGTTTTTGTTTTTTTTTTTGCACTCTCCTTGCAGAGGAGGTGTCAGCCACTGTAGGGACATAGTCTTCAGAGTCTGTACTATTTTCTCTCCATTAAAATCTCAGATTCATGTATAGAATGCATCACTTCTGCATTTCCCTTTTCCTGCTTCCTCCCCTCACTAATGGGATATTTATATTCATCCCTTACCTTGAAGTACTTATAAACTCCTTCTCTACTGCTTCTGCCTTTTCAATGGGTTGTATTAATGAAGATAAGTTCTAAAACATGAAAATACTAACAAATGAGTGACAATATATAACTTAATGAACTCTGGTTTGCTTGGTTATTATTGAATATCAATTAAGTTAAATTTTAAAAAATCATACATTGAAGTTCTGGGAGCACTTGAAACTCTATCCACTCCTGGTGGAAATGGAGAACTTATAACCTCTTAGGAGAAAAGTTTGGCAGATGTACAAAAGTTTACTCTCATACTGAACGGATACATCTGGATTTCTTCTTGAAATAGTCGTGAGAACATTTGAGGCATACAGATACTGTAGCCCTAGGAAGTATTGGGTCCAACTGTGAAATGGCTGTGTTGAGAGTGGCAAAGCAAGAATAAAGAATTTGGGTCCTTTCTACTGTCTCCAGCCTTCTGTGCCATTCCTAAATTTTCTAACACCTAGACTTCTGTTCATAGATTTAGATATTACCAGTTTCTTATATTGGCTTCTTTATGATTCTAACTTATCCTGAACAGAAAATCAAGTTCAAGAACCTGGCTGGATCTTAGACCTGTCTTTGTTGGAAGACAGGCAGGAACATGTGCTCATGTGTGTGCTTAGGGGAAGCCTGGGGCAAGTAGCACTAGAAATCATAATTGGTCATGTCCTCCCCTGCAGTCTGACTCATGCTGTGCCAGTGTGTAGAGGAAACCAGACAAGTTCAAAGAGTTTATAAAGTCTGCTCACTTCCTGTCTTTATTTCTCATTTTATATCCCAAACTTAAAACAGCCCATTTTTCCCCCTCAATTCCTCCTTCCCAAAGGGACTATAACATGGGAGTGTGGTTAAGGAACTCAAGGAAAGTGTGTTCTGGATTGTGAGGAAAATCTCAGAATCAGCCATAGAAACCATTCCCTCTATGTAACCCAATCTCTGCTTCCTTACCACACTGAGAGGATGGTTTTCTTTATCCCCACACTCCAGGTTTTTCTCTACTAATTTTT